AAGCAAATCTTTCACAAAACGAGTCGTTCAACACATATGTAATAATGATTTTATTACATAATAATTTTATAATCTAATAATACAATAATTATTAGATTCTTCCACTTCTACCCTTTTTCTAAAAAATATATATACACACTAATTTAACTTCATAATATATATAAAATTTTTATACATTGATATCAATAAATTTTTATATCCTAAAAAATAACAACTCGCGCATCGCGCGGATTTCACCTAGTCTATATATATTAATAAAGGAATTTAAAGAGATTTGGTGAAGACACCTCATCATCCTACATGTCATTTTGTTTAATTTTGATTGGTTATAAAAAAATTATGGTAAAATTTAATGAGAAACTTATACAATATGCAAATCTATATATATTAATAAAGGAGTTTAAAGAGATTTGGTGAAGCCACCTCATCATCTTACATGTCATTTTGTTTAATTTTGATTGGTTATGAAAAAATTATGGTAAAAGTTAATGAGAAACTTATACAATATGCAAATAATTAATCCAAAATGAAATTATAAGAATTAAATGAAATATGATGGATCTAAAATAAGATCCTAAGAAAATTAATAAATTATAATTACTTTTAATAGAATGTATTGTTATTTTAAATTAAATTTATTTATTTTAGAATAGTAATAGATAAATTAGAAAATACTATTATGAAGAATTTAAAATAAAATATCACTTTACTTAAAAACAAAAAATTCCATTAAGATTTTGGTCTTAGTTTTATAGATTAATATAGATGATGTAAATTTTACTTGAATATAATATCAATAGTAAATTGTAACATTTATCATAACTAATAACCTGTAGATTTATAATATCTAAGAATGATTATAAATTTTATTTAACTTTAAAAACTAGATAAAAAATAAATATAATTAAATGATAGACGTTATGGTCCTTTTCAGTTGTAATGTCGGTTAATGCTGATTTAAATAAATAATTTACGTTATGATGGATTAAAAAATAAGCAAACGGCTAATTTTAGTATTAGTAAAGATTTAATTATGTTATGGAGAATTGAAAAGGCAAGAATGATACAGTGACATATTTATGTGAGACCCGCAGGTGAATGTACGTCGTCCGATTCTGTTTCGATCGTTTGCGTTTTAGATTTTCTTCTTTGGATATTTTTGAATTTTTCCTAAATCTCATGCGCATCGGGTCGCGCATAAGCTGTGGACATAGCCCGGAAACCTCTGGCTATAGCTCTTCAATCACGGATCTCCGACGTGTTCGCCGTCGATATTCACATGGTGACGAAGATCGGGAAGAGGATAATCCTCGACGGTGGTGGGAAACAAGGTCTCCATCATCCACCACGTGAGCTCGGAAGAATCGCCTAGGCGGGCGGTGATCGGCACCCGAATATCGACGATGGAGTCTTGATCGTAGCCGGAGCAACCATCCTCGAGAACGTGAAGATCGGTATATACAAAAAGTTCTGAACTTTATCATTTTACATGTTTCAGTGTAAGTCCTAATGTTAAGAAATGTGGGAGTGTACAATCTCGAATATCATAGAGAGATCGTACACGTAATGAAAAGGAATAAGTAATCTTACATATCTTATATTCAAGTAAGAACGTTTCTTTTTCGCGTCGGGATTGCATCATCAGTGATGAACTTGGCGGTGAAGGGTCCTTCGGTGCTATGGGGGTGGCCAATGTGTGGAGATCCAGTTTGAGACTGCCGACGCAGCACTCGAACGGTGGCCGAGGCGGAGGAAACAAGAATACATTCTGAAGGTGGCGATCCTCTGCGACTCAGCCCAGGAAACCGGTTTCATGTACGTGGCTCTGGGGGTTCTTGCAGGGCTAGTTGAGCTTAAAGATTTGTGAGTTAGCAGAACTATGTTACTTTGTATGTTACTACTGCCGTTGTTGCATTCTCTTAAGGTGTGCAAAGATATGTTGTTGTAGGTTTTCGTTTTTGACTGTTCATGCATTCTAAATGGGTTAATGGGCAGCTCGACTGCCCATTTAGCCCAAAATGTGTTAAACAAAAATAGATCATTAGCTTAATTGGTTGGCTTTTAACCTAAGTACCCAACTCACTAAAAGTTGAACCCATGATGGGCTGCGTTGAGTTGGGTCATTTGACATGAATATACTAGGGATGGGCACGTACGGGTACCAGACTTTTTAAGGTACCCTTATCTCGGTCGTCTCGGTCTCATCGGGTTTCTTATTGGAATATCTCATTCTCTATCTCACGAAACACGGGTACCCGTGATTCGGGTACTTGCGCGACCCGAACCGGTGTATAATTAAAAAAAATAACTTGTACAAATATATAATACAAATACATATATGAGTAGTATAACCATAAGTTGAATAAAATCCAGAATACATTTTCTTTCCAAACACCTCCACAATACATCATCATCCAAAACAATCCAAAAGTTGAATAAAATTCAAAACATAAAGATAGAGTGAATTAGGGTTAGGTTATGGATATGTATTTCTGTAAATGTATTAAAAATAAATGGTATTTTTATAATTTTTGAATTTAGTCGGGTACCCGTGAGATACCCATCGTGAAATACTCGAACGCGAATCCGAAACTCGGGTTTTTCGTCTCAGAGAACCTGGCATCTAACTCATTATCTCACGAGTAATGAATTTCGGGTACCGGCGAGATAGGAAACTCCGAAACCCGCAGTTCTCAGATAAAAATGCCTAGCCTAGCCCTAGAATATACTGCTGGCTCCTGTTTGTTTTAAGCCTTTGTAGCAAATGAAACATGATTTGAGTTTCGTTTTTGTGACTACATCTCTTGAAAATGTAAAGCTCCCCTGGTTAAGTCTATGATGGAAATGTTTGCCACTAATTACTGAAAGTTGGTAAGTTGCGAATGGTCTAACCAAAAGCTTTTATCTTCTTGTTGCAACTATGGTATCAGCTGATTTCCTCCTACAAAGGAAGGAGATATCACTTGAATGGCACAGAAAGAACATTTAGAAGAACAAAGTTCATAGATCTAGATGGCCTATTCTTGGAGCCTGCTGCAGCTGGTGGTTGGCTTTTTTCTCGTTGAAAGGTCTTGTCAATTTTGGATTGGATTATTTGGCTTAACATTTCACACCAAACTGTTGCAGCCAGGGTGGGTGGAAAGTTTAAACCAAGGGCTAAACCTCGTCCAAAGAAGATAGCCTCTGTTTCTTCCGCTGCAGAGCTCCGTAATGACGAAAAGGAAAAGCCTTCAATGCAAGATCAATCTTGCGGAAGGGAAGAACCAGTTGGTCTAAATGGGGAGGTTGTGTGCACTGAAGCTGCAAACCCTAGCAGTTTGTTCCTTGAAACTGGATAATTATCTCACTTAGACTGGAATTGTTAGAAAATGTAAAATTGTTAAGGATGTGAAGTTTACTTTGCAGATACTTTACCTTTTGAGGCAATTGCACCCGATAGTGGCACCATAAATCAATCAAATAATGGGGCAGTCTCAGAAGAGGTAAAGCGATATTAAATCTTATGCGTTGTGTGTTGTCTCCTTATCTGTGTCTACTTGGTATTTTCTTAATTTTATGATCTTTTCAGAATGTAGATGTTTTCTCAGGAGGTATTGGTTCATCTACGGAAGCAGTGATTCTTCATGCTTGGACAGAGTGAATATGGAGAAAAGAATGGATGAAGACATAGAAACACCCATCTTTCTTGGTGTTCTTGGGACACAAGATTCGGTAACGTTTAGGGATTTAATAGCTGCAGAGCTGGATGGAGGTATTCATGCTCAAAATGGAGGGATGCAAACAGAGGTGCGTGAAACTTGATTTTGGAATAACCTTGGCTTGTTTCAGGAAACAAAAAATTGTTTGGATATGGAAACTTTAGATATTGTAGAGGAGGGCACTACTACCTTTGGCAAGTATGAGAAGGATACAAGTGTTGTGGGTCAATTTTCCATGATGTATTTGTGTTTGTTTTAATATTAAACTTGTGCATCATGAACACAGGAAAGCATTCTGAAAAGTTCCAACCAAAGCCAAAATTGCAAGATGGCGTACAAGCTAGAAAACAAAACCAAGGTTTTAATGGGGCACTTGAATCTGTTTACCCAGATGATGACTTGGATTTTGTGCCCGTGGGTGCTAACACTTCTGAATTCCTAATTCAGCTGAATAAGGAACTGAGAAATGAAACTACCAATGTGGATGCTACTTTTTATGGAGCGATTCAAGACGTTGATATTCTTGAAATTCCTAGGAAGTCAGTAAGATTTCTGGGCAAGTTGGGTTGCTTAAGCTCATTTTCTTTTAAAGACAAATTTACCTAGGATAACTGGCTGCATGGCGCTCAATTCATCTTGCAATATTATGATAGATCCTTCAGGGCATTTATGAAGAACAAGAACAGAAGGTTTGTACACAGGTCCCGATGTACTGTTAACAAATTGATAAACACGATAATCGATTGATCGATGGTTTACAATCTGAAGAATTGCTTAATGAGAGTCTCCTTTCTCAACCCAAATCCTAACCGTTTTCTCAAAATACTCGCATAACCCTGAAAAAAATCTCAAAACAACTATTTATAATCGCTCCTTTACAAACTCGTTGAGATGACATAACAAAACATAAATCCAACTCTGATTCCAGCAGCTTCACTTCATCCCTTTATTTTTCAGTCATCTTAATCATCTACTCCTATATCTCACTTCTTGCACAAACCTTCTTTTGTTCTTGTTCTTCATGAATGCCCTGAAGGGTCTATCATATTACTGATTTCTAAGATGGAGAAAGGAATCCTTTCTGGTGGATGGGAACATGAAGAGCAGTTTGAATGTCCCGGTAACATTACAGCTATGGAAGAATATAATTGTTGGGAACATACTGCAGAAGAATAATCAGAGAGAGCTAGTGATGTAAGAAAAATAAATAGAGGTGCAGCTGCGGAAAAAACACTTACACAAAAGTGCCAAAATGGCAGTGAAGCACCACATCATTGATCATTCTAGTGAAACCCCCTGAAGAAGTTCAAACATTTAACTCGCCGACGGAGAAGAAGAACATGTAACTGTAACTTCTTGCTGAAATATTATGTTGTGTTGTGTGTGACTGTTTTTGTATGTTATTTTGACATTATTTTTTATTGTTATAGTGGCAAAGGAGTTGCTTGAAACCCTAGATGAAGATATCCCATTTTTGCCTATTAGAGATATGCTTCAGCTTGTTGATTATAAAAAGTGGTTGGAGGTAAACGATTCTTCACCTCTGCGTTATTTACTCTGCAACTACAAGTTGTGTGGGTAGGAAGGTTTACATTTATTACATTTTATGTATTCTATACAGTGCTAGCCCTGAACAATTTATGCTCAAGAAACTTGAAAGTTTTGGCAAGAAATTGAATTTTACTTTTATCTTTGCACTACATGAGTGCATATGTTTAGACATGCACTAATTTGGTGTGCGTAAGCTTGGGCCAGTCATTCTGAATGATGGGAATTTATTGTTATTAAGCAGAAAAAGGAAGCAAAAGAAGCACGAGGGCTTCAAATCCAAGAAAGGTATTGTATTCCTTTTTTTTCAAAATCTATCTTTACATTCCCTTGTGCACCTGCCACCTGAAATTCTTAGTTTCTTCTAGTTAAATGTCTAATGTTAATGTTTTTCAATTTCTGAACAGAGTTTGTGATACTTCTCTTTATTTATATTATTTCCCTTGACCTTCCGTGGTTGATAATAGCTTTTATCCTCGTTTAGTTGTAGATAATGTTTTTTTATAAAGCATGTTGTGGTAGAACAAAATGGCTTTTCAGCTAGGTTGTTGATCGAGAGAAGTCTCTTTGATCAATTTGTTCTATTTATTATAGCTCAAGTCTTTTAGATGCATTTGATAGAACTCATTCATTAATAATGGACCCAACAAAGTCTCAAAACCCATGGGTAGAACTCACCCCAAAAGTTAGCTTGTTGGGGAGGGTGTCCATGATATTATATTGACTCAATTGTTCCCACATATTTCCGATGTGGGACTCTAACAATACCGCCCCCTTTAGACAGCGACGACCACGGCGCTGGCGGCTTCTCGGTCGCTGGCGGCTACGCACCCTTTGTACTCCTCTCCCGACCGTTCCTCTCCCGCCGCGTCGTCTGCATACCAATTTGATAGAACCCACTCATTAATAATGGGCCCAACAAAGTCTCAAAGTCCATGGCTAGAACTTACCCCAAAAGCTAGCTTGATAGAACTCACTCATTAATAATGGGCCCAACAAAGTCTCAAAGTCCATGGATAGAACTTACCCCAAAAGCTAGCTTGTTGGGGGAGGGTGTCCATGGTATTATATTGACTCAATTGTTCCCACATATTTCCGATGTGGAACTCTAACAACATTCCTTTTGAACTCATGAACCGAACTTCTCAAAAATTGTCCGTGATCACTTCTGTGCCACACTATTTTTCCCTGTACTGCTCGATTTTGGTCTTTGGTCTGTTGAAGTGCTTCTTGTACTACTAGGAAAGCATCTGATGATTGCGAGCCTCTGCTAAACTATCACACCTACGTGCAAAGGCAAGCCAGAGTACGATGGTCAAAGCAAGATACAGCACGGTTCTATGAGGTAATGGATAATTTTATTCTCTGATTCTCCATTTATCTCAATCTTGTTGTAACTTTGATTGCGGGATTTGCGTATATTTGGTTATCCAATTGGAATTAATTAACAAACAATGGGGAACCAATTCATTGTATCTAATTTGAGTGATTTCATTTGATGTTCTTTGTTTGTAGGGCATTCGTGAGTTTGGGACCGATCTGTCAATGATACAACAACTATTTCCTGATAGGACACGTGAGCAGATCAAACTGAAATACAAGTTGGAAGAACGACGACATCCAATGAAGCTTAATGATGCTATTGCTACTCGTGCAAAACGTGACAAAATCTCCTCCCTCCTCTCTAAATCCCTCAGCTTTACATTTCTTTTTGAGCAAATACGCTTAGTTGATGCAAAAGGAAACCCCCTCCTGATGGTATTGGAAAGATCAGAAAACTATATACTTGTGTATATGGAAAGTTTTCAGCAGAGGAATGAGATATATGCATTTGATACGTTTCCAAAATCATGTTTTTGATTCAGGAGGCTCTTGTAATTCATTTTTTTCTCCGCAGATCACCATCATTATCACGACGTGATTAAGAAGCTTCAAGAAGCGGCTACTCAAGCAGCCCGGGAAGCCAATGAAGAAGATGAAGCATCCGCAGGAGAAGAAGATAACCCGCCAAACACCGAGGTAGAGGCAACAGACATTCCCAACAATGTACGTATACATTTTGTGTCATTTACGTAATATTAGGGGTGTGCATTTCGGTTTTCAGGTTCAGTTCGGCAATAAAAAAACATTTGCAAAGAGTTTTTTTCTCATCTATATTTTGCAAAGGGCCCCCAAAAAAGAAATGTGTTTACAGCATTTTATTTTAGCAACTCAGAACGGGATGCCTTTTCTACGTAATATGATACAAAGCCTAAACGATTTGTGTGGTTGTAGGAGGAGCCGGCGAAATCGGAGCCGTCGGAGAGAAGTGGCGAGCAGTGGAACGGCGGAGGAGATGCCGACCGTGAGGATGAGGATGCTCACTGGAATTCTTATCAGAGCGAAATGTAATTTTGCACCTTTTTTGGTTTCTCATCATTCTTAGACATCGAGGCCAAAATAAAAATTTTTAATTGATTAAATCTTTAACCGGAACAAATTATGAACGACTACAATTTCGTCTAAAGTTTTGCCAACACATTTCAAAGTTTTGTTTTAAGAAATTATGTCTTCGATTTCAGCAAAGATTAATTGTTCAGATTTAGGTGGTGGGTATTGTTTATAATAAAATATTACAATGTTTAGTGTTATTATGATTCTTAGGACAAATGATTGGAAAAAATTCCAACCAAATGTAACGCTACCACTAACCAATGATTAGCGTCTGACAGAATGATGATCCAAAGGGTTTGATTGCTCAGCCGACAGCGTTTATGGCTTTGTCCAAACCCTTAAAGTCAAATTCTGGTTGTTATGCGAAATAGCCATAGATCGAAATCATCTGTTTTAATAAAATTGTGTGATGAATGACTAATCAATGAAATATTCCGACAGCAACTGTCAAAGGCTGAACAAAGAACCGTTGACTCGTCTTTTAATCGCCCCGGTATCTACAATTACTTTTTTGCTCTGATTCATCACTTGCCACGTGTCATATGGGTCCCATCTCACGCTCTCCCAGACCAGACCAAGGTGGAACTTTAATTCTAACCCCAAATGTTTCGAGAAATTAATATCTAGCTTCTAACATCTTAAACACAACTCTCACCCCTTTTTCTAGAACTTCATGCTTATTCCAAAAAAATCATGTACTCATAATATTTTGATATGGATTTAAATTCTTATTCCAAAATTTTTTTAAAATAATCACAAAAATTTATATCTTTGATATCTAAAAAATGGAAAAGTCTCCGATATGTGAATGTAAGATTCATCATTTTTCTTTAAATATGATTATAATTTTCTAACCATGGTGGACTATGGATCAAATATTTTTTTTATATTGAAACGTATTTATACTAATCAATTGAAAATCAGTAATAATTATCTTTTCTACCAATTTGAAAGTAATAGGAAAACATATAAATAAAAAAAGATATATCATCACTAGAAAATGATTTCCCATCTATGTATTCTCGACAAAATGAATGGTGTTAGAAAATAGAAACCAATAAAAACGGGTACCATTCTGAAAATAATAAAAGTATTGGGGGTATTAGAGAATACCCAAAAGTTCTCTCTCGGCGTGCCTTTTATGCCGTCTTTTTGTCGGCGATTATTTTACCCTCACTTTTTTTTCTTCTTATTTTATCTATTTTTTATAATAAATATTTTCTGACGTGACGTTACAACACTGCTTGCTCGTAGATCCGTTAAAATTCTACCTACGGTCATTAATGACCGTCGGATCTTCCTCGGTTGGTGACAAAAGCATGAATATTGCACTTCCCATAATATTTGTTTTTATTAGTTTCCAAATGTACCCCAAATGTTGTATCTACCTTTCTCTTTGAACCATATATTATCTTTGGTTACATTATGAACCCAATATTCTACAAATTGCACCACCACGCTTTATTTCCTTAAAAACGCAAGCATAAATTTTGAACTTAGTTCTATATAGTTGAAGCGATATTTCAAGTTATATGTGATTATATGCTTATAGTATAAATACATATGTTTATCCGAATATAAATTAATAAATTTATTAAAGTTTCAACCCAATTTCTGAATTTTTTTTCTTCTGAAAATCAGATTTAAACTGAATATAATTGAAAGGTGGGTCTAGTCTCTAGATGCATGAGGTGAGGAATTAGGAGTATGAAGTTATTACAATTAGTGTGGGTATCAAAATATAAAAAAACAAAATAGTATGGGTGCCATTAAATAATCATCGGAATGTAACCATAAAAACAAAAACAATATTAAAATACGAGGCGATTTAGGTGAAAGAAAACAGGAAAGTCCTTAGTTCGCTCCGAATTTCACTCGTCTGTTGCTTCTGAAGCCTTTACCCTTTTTTTTCCCTTTTGATTTTTGGGGTTTTCCGGGGGGTTTCCTGGCGATGTTGATTCGCGAAAATTAGGGTTCCTTGCTGGTGCATTGATTCGTGGATCAGCCATATTCTCGAAGATTTAAGCGAGCGATAAAAATATATAGGGAGGAAAAGTTCTGTTTCTGTAGATTCAAGCGAAGGAATCTGAGATGTCGGGTCCGCTTGATCGGTTTGCAAGACCATGTAAGCGATCGGATCTACTTTTTCTGCTGCCGTGTGATGCATCAGTTCTTTCTGTGTAAAATTCTGTTTTTTTTTTCTTTCTGGGTATTTTTCGGTCCGACTCTAGGGTTTCAGTTTAGCATAAAGGCTTGAGCTGGTAAAGATCGAAAAATTTGAGGTGTAATGGAGCAATGAGAAGCTCAATGCTAGGAAATTTCGCTTTTTTGCCGGTGTTTGATGAGGGTTTTAGCTTGTCGTACATGTTCTTACAACGCTGAATTTAGAGAAGTTAGGAACTTTCGGATGGGTTTTGTACAGCTAAGGTAGTTGCTTTGTGGAAATATCACCTCTTAACGTTGTTGTTTTAAGATTCACGCAGTCTGGTATGCCCGCTTGATATCTATTCGTTTTATTGCTCTGAATCATAGAGCATTAGACAATTCGAGTTTTCACTAGTTGTTGGGTACTTTGTTTTTTCTTTCGGAAAGGATTTAACTATTTCCTCTCAACAGGTTTTGAGGGATTCTTGAGTAACGATGAGAAAAAGGAGAGAAAATCAGACTTTGAGAATTCTGAGGATGAGAGGAGAACCAGGATCGGTTCTTTGAAAAAGAAAGCGATCAATGCATCCACAAAGTTCAAGCATTCTCTCAAGAAAAAGAGTGGGAGAAGAAAAAGCGATGGCCGAGTCAGTTCCGTTTCCATCGAGGATGTGCGGGATGTTGAAGAGCTGCAGGCCGTTGACGCTTTTCGTCAAGCATTGATAATGGACGAATTGCTTCCTGAGAGACACGATGACTATCACATGATGTTGAGGTTGATTGATCTCAACCATGATATCATGCATTTCTTTGTTACTTTTCATGTCCCGCCATCTAGTCTTTGATTGATTTCCTTGACTCTCAATATGATGTTGGCTGCTGTTTCTCTCTATTTGCTTCTATTAGATTCTTAAAAGCGAGGAAATTTGACATTGAAAAAGCAAAGCACATGTGGGCTGATATGCTTCAATGGAGGAAGGAATTCTGTACTGACACTATTATTCAGGTAGCTGCATCTTACAGAATATATCTGACCTTTGTTTCGAACCAGGGAATCAGCTTTACTTATTCTACCAGTTTGATCTTGTCAGGATTTTGAGTTCGAAGAGATTAATGAAGTGCTGAGATATTATCCACATGGTTATCATGGTGTTGATAAGGAAGGAAGGCCTGTGTACATTGAAAGGTTGGGGAAAGTTGATCCTAACAAACTCATGCAAGTTACAACTATAGATCGATACGTAAAATATCATGTAAAGGAGTTCGAGAGGAGCTTTATGATCAAATTTCCTTCTTGCACAATTGCTGCAAAAAGGCATATTGATTCAAGCACAACTATTCTGGATGTTCAGGGAGTGGTAATTTTCTTTCATTCTAAATGGTGCTCTCCCTTTGCATTGCAACCTAGGTCTGGTGAGGTGCTGAGTTATTTAACATTTTGCATTCCCTGTTATTTATTTTCAGGGTCTGAAGAACTTCACCAAATCTGCTCGGGAACTTATTACACGTTTGCAGAAGATTGATGGAGACAATTATCCTGAGGTAGTTTCCCGTCACAGCTTAAAAATAGAAACTTGTTACTGGAATGTTTGTTCCTGAGACGGTCTATATCATATCATATTCTAATCTTAGTTTTGGGTTAATTCTTGCAGACCCTCCACCAAATGTTTATCATCAATGCAGGACCCGGATTTCGGCTGCTATGGGGCACTGTGAAGAGCTTCCTAGACCCCAAAACAACTTCCAAAATTCACGTATGTTAATATATTCTCTTTATAATTTTATTCTTAAGGATGACATTAAGTGGACAACTCCATAAATGTTATTTTTACCGTTTTTTTAATGTAGGTCCTCAGTAACAAGTACCAGAGCAAATTACTGGAGGTCATTGATGCCAGGTATTTGAAGCTGAGGTTTTATGTCCTATTGTTGTCCATTCTTTCTTTTCCCATCTATATTTGTTCAGTTCTTCTCTAAAACTGCATGACTTCTGATGTATTGTCACTTTCTACAGCGAGTTGCCGGAATTCTTGGGAGGTGCATGTACTTGTGCAGACCAGGGTGGTTGCATGCTTTCTGACAAGGGACCTTGGAAGAATCCAGAAATTTTGAAGGCAAGCCACTTCGGCTCATCTCTTTTACACCTATGCCTTTTTTTTAAATAATCATTTGTCTTTGTTCAGAAGAAAACAACCGCAATTGCTCATAATGTTACAGATGGTACTTCATGGGGGAGCACATCGTGCAAAGCAGGTCGTGAAAGTTTTGAACAGCGAGGGGAAAGTCATCGCTTATGCTAAGCCATCTTATCCATGGGTATGCCCTTGTTGATTCATAGTATCAATCATCTAAATGTATAGCTAAGCCTGAGCACATCATGCCTAAACTCTGGCACCATTTAAAACAGATCAAGGGGAGTGACACATCCACTGCCGAGTCAGGTTCTGAAGCTGAAGATATCGGGTCTCCAAAAGCAGTGAAGAGTTATTCTCATCTCCGTTTGACCCCGGTTCGCGAAGAGGTAATTTGGTTTCTGTATTTTCTAGTTCTTGGCCACAATTACTCATATGTTGATATATAGGCAGTTAGAATTTCCAAAATCTGCTGCTGCTTGTAGCATGTATGGGAACATGTGATCAAGTATATGTATCCGGTGTAATGAATCTGTCTAAATGTCGCATTTCATCCAAACCTGTGAGCATTTTGAAGTTGTTTAATACTATCTGTGACTTTTAAAGGGAGCCTTGGCGCACCGGTTAAGGTGTTGCCGTTGTGACCTAGAGGTCACGGGTTCGAGTCCTGGAAGCAGCCTCTTGCAGATATTTCTGCAAGGTAAGGCTTGCCTACAATACACCCTTGTGGTGGGACCCTTCTCCAGACCCCCACTCAATGGGGACGCTTTGTGCACCGGGCTGCCCTTTTTTAATTCTATCTGTGACTTTGCAGGCGAAGATTGTCGGTGAAACAAGTTTGGCTGGTAGTTTCCCGGGATATGATGAATATGTCCCCATGGTTGACAAAGCCGTTGATGCAAGCTGGAAGGTCAAACCCACCATCCAGAGGGTCGCCTCAAAAGGCAAGCGTTAGGCTCATGTAGAGAAGGGTTTTTTGTTTTACAGATACATTATATACCCAGTTTTGGTATCAAACATACTGATGAAAGAGATTGAAATTTGGGTCTCTCCTATGCAGGAGCTTTGATGCCACCAAACACCTCGAAGGCTCCCGAGGGCATTTGTGCTAAGGTTCTTGTAATGCTCATGGCCATTGTTATGGCTGTTGTAATGTTCTTCCGCACAATTTCGTCCCAGGTGGCCAAGACGCTTCCTAACACGTCACAAAACGAAGGGACAGGTACAGAGGTCACTTCCCGTGGTGGTGGAATTCAGGAGGAGTTCCGGCCGCCTTCTCCCGCATCACCATTCACTGACGCTGATCTCCTCTCTTCCGTACTGAAGAAACTAAGCGAGCTCGAGGAGAAAATAGGCACTCTCCAATCAAAGCCATCTGAGATGCCTTACGAGAAGGAGGAACTTCTGAATGCGGCTGTCTGCCGGGTTGACGCCCTTGAAGCTGAGCTGATTGCCACAAAGAAGGTATGGATTGGTGGTATTTTGCTGAAGCTTCAAACTTTTTATTTTTCTTAAATTAAATTTGAAAGCTTTTAAAAAAGGTCTCACGAACTAAATGGTATAATATCTCTAACATTGACTGAGCAGGCACTTTATGAAGCTCTGATGAGGCAAGAAGAGCTGCTCGCCTACATTGACCGTCAAGAGGAAGCCAAATACCAGGTCTCTCTCCTTATCTCCCCATCCATTCTTTTAACACCCGCCCATTAAAAAAAGGGGAAAAGAATAAAAAAACTGATTATCTCCTCAATGTTTTTCATCTCTTGTCTTTGTCACCAGAAGAAGAAGAAGAAGCATCTCTTCTGCTGGTAAAAGGGTTTGCATCAGCTTCAGACATTCTCTTTCGGCGATCTGCGTTTTCCAGTTCATTCAAGAGAGGAAAGAAGAGAAAAAAAGAACCACGAGACGTATCGTAACCAAAGTGTGTAAGCAGAGAGACAAAACCCCTTTTATCTGATGATGTTAAAAGCAAATGCTTCTGCTAATTCAAAGACCATATTGTGGGAGCTAATATCCAGGCACATAAACAATCCGGCTTCTTCTTCAATTATTATAATAGCATTATATATAACATATTTAAATTTCACATAGTTCACACAGTTTTTTTTCCTTCTGGCCATAGTTGAATTTCCCTCGGCCATTACATGACAGACGTCAGACAACATCGAATGGGAACAGAAGATAGAGATAGGTATACAAAATACTTTTTTTTTGAAATAAAAAAGAAAGGGAGACTCAAGATATTAGACTTCTCAGGAATATTAATAAATATGCATATATAATATATGGATGTTGAACTTACTCCTGCCATAATAAGCTCTGCAGGTCTTTCAGAATCCAAAGAACTGTAAAGAAAAGACATTCAGCAAAGCACCGAGATTTAGTGAAGTGTAAAAAAAAAACAGATTTTCTCTCTGGGTCTTTCTCAAATTTAAGCAAGATGCAATATGGTGGTGTTTGCATGCATACCTTCTTCTTCTTCTTCTTTTTCTCCTCGATGTAAGCAAGTATCTCCTGTTGCTTTGACAGTGCCTCATCCAGTGCCTTTTGCGTCAAGAAACACAACGAAAACCATGATATCAGAATCGAAATCACATGTATTCAACCACCAAATAAGAAAAGAAAAAAGAGGTACCTTCTTGGTCTCCGATAACTGAAGCTCGAGGTCGTTGACACGGCTGAGAGCGGAGTTTAGCATTTGCTCCTTCTCCGGTGAGAAAATAGGCTGCGAGTCCAAGAACTTACACTTGTCCTCCAGCTCCGCCATCCTCTTCACCATCCCCATGTACTCACTGCTTGACACTGCCACATTCCCGCCCTCTCCTTCATAGTAGCAGCTTCCTCCTCCATATATGGCGGCCTCTGTGATCTTCCTGGGCATGTTCTTGGTGAGTTTCATCACCGTCATTATTCCCATCAGCACTGTCATCACTCCCCCCAACAGGTACCCTTCTCCTGCCCTCTTCTCTGATGGCTTCACCGGGCAACATTCTGCATCAGGGCCAGAAAAAGTATCGGTTATTTGAATCCGTTTAGCTCGGTTAAGGTTGTACCGGACAGGGGATCTATGGACCTGCAGTGTTAGCAAAGGTGTTGGCCTTGTTGCGGGTTGTAGGCCAAGTAGCATCCATGGTCTTGTCCACCATTGGAATGAGTTTCTCATTCAGTTCATTGAATTTCTTGCTCTTGGCTAAGATAAACTGCAAGATTTTGCTACAATTATTAGTTCAGTTATTCATATATCAAGATCTGAGGGACCAAAGCCATGGAAGAAAGAAACTCACCATTGCTTCAGCTGCAGAGAGCTTGAGTTTCTCTTCTGCCTCGAAAGATCCACGTCCCTTGGAGTTGTTTAAGCAAAAACGGTTTATGATTAACAAATGTGAAAAGGCAGAATTCACAGCAATTGCTTCGAAATCAAGAGCCCATACCTTTGGTGTATAGGTCTCGTACTCTGAGATCGTTTTCTCCTCGATGCCTGACAAGACATTCCTCGTGCATCTGCCTTCACCATTCTGAACCATCTGCATACAATAATTAGATCTTTACTTCGTCAATCGATCGGTATGCAGTATAACCATTGTCAGTTAAGTTGAAGCTAAAGCGATGTCAGCAACAATATGGATGTTTCAAGAATCTACCAGAAAAGGATTTGATGGTCAATAGAAATGCAAAAAAGAATATGCATAAAAAACCACATGCATGACTTCTGTATTTTATATTCACCATCCGGGTGTCAAGTCAAGTGTAAGGATTGTGTTACCTTGAAGATCTCAGGGTCATTCCATGGACCTTTGTCTGAACGCATACATCCGCCTTTGTCCTCGCAGGTGCAGCTACCTCCCAAGAACTCGGGCAGTTCACTGAATGAAAAAAGAAAAAGAAAAGAGAAAACATGTTCAGAGTTAGAGTTTCGAGTTCAGATTCATGGTACTATTTGAGAAAAACCCTAATTTTCAGCAAAATCTAAAGCTTCAGGACAAAAGCAGCAGTTCGCAGCATCCAAGAGTTATGAAACCCTTACTTGGCGTCAATGATTTCCAGAAGTTTGCTCTGGTACTTGTTGCCAAGAACCTGATTGGACACAAAATCTTCTACTTAGACAGAGATGGAGAAAAGGTGTAAAGCTCAGATCTTTGTCAAGAAACGAGAGCTTACGTGAATTTTGGCAGTGGTCTTGGGATCAAGGAAAGATTTAACGGTGCTCCACAAGAGTCTGAACCCATGGCCAGCATTGATGATGAACATACGGTTCAAAGTCTACCGTGAACACAAAACACTCCACATATCATAAACTATCCGAGAAACCTATATGGGTTCTGAGTTTTAAAATGGAGAGATATGAAATACACAGAAGAACAATATGTTAGTACCTCAGGGTAATTGTCATTGTCAATCTTCTGAATATGCTGAAGGAGGTCCCTTGCAGCCTTGTTGAAGTTCTTAAGCCCCTGAAAACACAATCAATATCCAAGGAACATCAAATCACTCTTTGTCCGGACGTGATCTACCACTTTCCAATATCATATAAATAAGGTAAATTCCTTCTCATCATACCACTCCTTGAACGTCCAAGACCGTTGTGCTCTGATCAATGTGTCTCTTGGAAGCGATGGAGCAAGCAGGGAACTTGATTCTGAATGTCTTCTCGAATTCCCTTACATGGTATTTCACGTACCTTTCAATTGTGGTTACTTGCATCAGCTTTGTGGCGTCGACTTGGCCAAGTCTCTCAATGTACACCGGCCTTCCTTCCTTGTCAACTCCATGGTAACCTTGTGGGTAATACTTCAGGACTTCGTCTATTTCCTTGAAGTCAAAATCCTGGAGAAAGAATGATGGAGAGAGAGTTTCAGACAAAAACAATGGAGAAAGAATTCAAGAAACGGAATGCAAGAGAGGATCTTGACCTCCATGATGGTGTCTGCACCAAAATCTTTTCTCCAATTAAGCATGTCGGACCACATTTGCTTCGCCTTCTCAATGTCAAACTTCCTTGCCCTCAAGAACCTAAGATTTACGAGAGAAAATAGATCATATTTTTTGCAGGAAAGAGTACAGGCCTCTGATGAAGAAGCAGAAGAAGAAAACAGATAGAAGAACCTAAGCATCATGTGAAGATCATCGTGTTTGGAGGGGAGAAGCTCGTCTAAGATAAGAGCTTGGCGAAAAGCATCAACAGCCTGCAAGTCTTCAGCATCGATGTCATCATAGATGATGGGGACAGACATGACTCGGCTGTTCTTACGGCTCTTCTTGGTGAAAGAGTCTCGAGGTCGTTGACACGGCTGAGAGCGGAGTTTAGCATTTGCTCCTTCTCCGGTGAGAAAATAGGCTGCGAGTCCAAGAACTTACACTTGTCCTCCAGCTCCGCCCGAACCAAGCTTAGTTTTCTTGTCATCCTCAGAGAACTCACCATCTGTATTTAAGCAAAAACCAAAAAAAAAAATGCAGAATCTTTTGCATAAATTTGTCTCCCACATTGCAGAGTTCCATAGAAATGTCTGAAACCTCATGCCAACACATGTACTGAAAAACACGTAAAACATGTTTCAGAGAGATTGGAGATTTGATTTCTCATTACCTAGCTTGTTATGCCGATCCAGATGTCCAGACATTACCTCTGCCATATTTCAAAATCCTTGCTCGCCTGTCATGAACAAGCATGTAAACATGGGTGGAACGATTTTTTGGAGCAGAGATATACAAGAAGAACTACAGAGCTATTGAATCTAAGATCAATCTGAGATAAACAGTCAAGGTTTCTTGGCTAACAATCAATTGAAAAAAAAATAGAATCAGAGAGAGTCGTTTAAACATTTGATCAAACAGTTTACACAAGACAAGATCTAACAACTAGGACATTGATGCAGAGCATCTGCAGCCGACCAAGGCAGGTAAAAATATCAGAAAACGGGTTCAGACAACATCATGGTTTTCTTTATCAGAAATCGACCGAGGACAGAAATCGGAGCAAAAGAACACAAACCCACGTTTTCTGGGAGGCTCAAAACGGAAATGGGTATATCACGGGGGTTCGAGAGAATCCAAAGCTTCAATCATTTGATATTCTAACCACGGAGATGAAACAATGAGAAAGAGAAGAATATAGGATCGAAACGTTTACCTATCTGAGAAGAAGCTAAGGAGGGACAAAGAAAGAAGAAAGAGAGGTGCATAAATCTCCCGCGTATCTCTCCAAACCCCTCCTTCTCCCCCCAAAAAAAGGACGGCTCCAGATTTACAACGCGAAATCTTGACGAAAGAGGGAGTTAAATTATTCGGGTATCACAAAGATTTGACCTTGTATAATTTGTTCTACAATGTAAGAAGAACTGTGTGTATCTGTGTGTATCTCTGTGTGTGTGTGTATCTGTGTGTGTGTGTGTGTGTGTGTGAGAGAGAGAGAGAGAGAGAGAGAGAGAGAGAGAGAGATTGTTGCCGGGGAAAAGCGCGTTCTTGCCGTTTTCCGGTATGACGTGTGCCGTGATTTTTCCCTCTTTCTGTGGATTCGGACGGGTTTTATTAAGAAACCAATAGCTTCACATCCTAAAATGACAATTGTATCTTTAAAAACATATCCTAAAATAAAATGTTTTTATTTTTAATAAATTTTAAAAATACCCTTACCCAATAGTAACGTATAATTGCAACAATGTTGGTTATTTGTTATTATTTTACGTTAATTATATGGTGAAATGTCCAGTAATGGAAGATTGTTTTACTAATACATCTATTATAAAAGGAAGAATCAAATTCCGCAATCATATCATAATCCAGTACATTAATCATTATCTATTTTTTTATTGCATTATCTGTTTAGATATGCATTACCAAACAGCTTGGGCAGAAGAGAAAATATTACAGAAAAAATCATGGATATTATTGGACACTTATATATATATATATATATGTATATTATATATATATATATATATATATATATATTGTAAATTGAATTTGGTGGGGTCAAAAGATAGAGGGGCAAGTCAACTGCTACTATACGTGGTGATCCACTAATTAAGATGAGGGACTTGGTTGCCATTACTTGCAAAGGGTTGGTCCAAGAAAACAAATCATTGGGCCGGTTTATCGGTCGAGTCTTATTTGGGCCTTACCTAATGGGCCCACCAAATTATTTTTCCCCGTTCCTACGGTCCGGAGTTCATAGCGATTGTATTTTTCGCCGGCGATGGCGGAGGCGAATCTCCTCCATCCTCCCCGGCGAGTCACGGATCAGAAATATTCGCAGCAGTTGGGTAGCCGTTCTTTGGAACGTTGAAGCAAACTGTATCTGCCTCGATCCAAGGTGAGGAATTTTCGGAACATTTCATTGAGTTGGTTTCATGAGTCGGTTCGATGGTGGGATTGCTGAACTGTGATGTTTAATCTATAGAAATCGTCTTCGCAATGATTGATACCTGGTGATAAGATATTAGATTTACGATTCTATTTGGCGGAAGTTCATGGTGGAATTGAACTCAACGAGCTCAGTCTGAGACCTAGAAATGCCGATTTCGTCTAATCACTGTCCGAAAAAGCTCTTGGAGGATCTGATTTAGCTGCTCGTGAAGGAATGGACAGTGTCATGGCAGCAGGATCGCTGTTAATGTTCATCTCTGGTTCATCCAAGATTGAACTTTGAGTTTGAGGTACGGTACCGTTTGCAATCTACAACCATCAAAATTATACAATGCTTCCAAGCATTTTACATGTGTATACACATATACATAGATGTGCATGCTAGATTGTGAGATGCTTTTAGAACTTATTCAATACATAATTATTGTCTGGTCTACATTCTCTCTATTAAGTAACACAAAACTCTTCATCCTTCTGATTCCTCCTCTGTCTCGCGATGAAAGACTCGATCTTGTACCGGAGTTCATCATTGCTCATTCGATCATTCAGGTCTCTTGTTTCATCCCCGGTATCCAAGCTCTTGAGGCATCTCTCCGTCTCCGATCTCCTCAGTGTCCCGCAAGAAATCCTCGGATTCTCCATATTCTCCGACCGACTTCTCAGGTAACTCTTGCTCTGTTTTGCCATGTTTTCCCCAGTCTTCTGTCTCAGCCTGTTCTCGATTTTCTTCTTTCTTTGAGTATCCTCGTTTGTACTATGTTTTCCCTTGATCTTCATTGCGCTCTCGCTTTCGATTACGCTCTGTTTTTGTCGGTTCTCAGATGTTTTCGGTCTTTGTCTGGTCTCTGTTGTGATCTGTTTCCCCTTGATTTCAGTCACACACTCTGTCTCAGCTATGCTCTGTCTCTGCCTGTTCTCAGTTGTGCTCTGTTCCTTGATCTCGATTATGCTCTGGTTTCCTCTGTTTTTCTCCTCGGCCCTTGTATTCGGCTCGTCCCTCCTGCTGTCTCGTACAAATTCCTCGAAAAACCCGTCACTTGATGTCCTTGCTTTGGATTCTTGATTCAGGAACATGCCAGATTTGGCTAAAAGGGCGATGACTATGGCATTCCCAACGATGAACACGACGTGACGGCTGATGAGTATAGCAGCTAAACCCTTGAAACGTTCTCCAGAGTCCTCGAACGTGATGACAAACTGGTAGACGAGCTTTGCTACCGTAACGACAACAACAATAATCTCGATAGCCCGAAAAAACAAGCTGGAGAGTATCTGAACCGTGGATTTCTTCGTGATGACTTTCATCTTCCTTGCTTTAACCTTTTGGGGTTTAAACGTATCCATTTGGATGGCAAGAGAAAGCAAAGTAGAAAACAGAGGAAGAGAGGCTTTTCAAGTGTCTTCTCTTCAGCTTATTACCGAGATCGTACCCGAAAATCGTAACTTAGATATCCCGTAAGACAAGAACGTCGTTTTTCTGTTTGGATTCATGGAAAATTTTGGCTGGAGAATGAAAATCTCATGTGAGAAAATACAGGAAGCAGAGGAAGAAAGAAGGGGAAATTCTTACAAGAAACCTCTCCTCTTTGTTTCTT